AGGTAAAACCTAATTCTACAGTCAGAATATCACCATTGTCTCCTGTCTTTTCAATGACCTCAAAATGAAGAAGACCCCTGAAATCTCTTTAGAAAGGTCACTGCTTTCTTTGTTTGTATGACATTTATTGGTCACTAAAAGCCCGCAGAACAATTGGACACCATAAGGTCAGCAGATAAACAGCCACCACAAAATAAAACGTGTCTCTCTTTAGCAAATGGAGACACGGATACTGTACCCTTCCATCAAGTTTCCTCGGATTGCCTACTAAAATGTTCTGCTTAGTCTTCAAACAGGATAAACGTATGTCTTTTTCCAGCCTTGCTTGTCAGTTTTATTGTTTTAATGTTTCATTTATCGACTTTAGCTCTGTTTCCCTATCGTTTCTGTTTTGCAGGGTGTCTAAAAAATTGACCTTTGTGTCACATTAAACTTAATGCACAGGGAACCATGGTGCCAAGGTTTTAGTAAAGTAAATTCCTATCTCTCTGATCAACCAAAAAAAACTAAAGTAACATTTATTATTAGAGGAATTTAGGGGATTGGTAAGAACTGAGGCACAACAAATTTTGTGGTGAAAGTAGGTTTTTATGTTTATGCGGTATGCTTGTGCTTAAACTAAAGGTTGGATTTTTCTAAGGTTTTGAGTTTGAAATTCCTTCCCACAACCATCAGCACCTTTAACAACACTGAAGAAACGTGTTTAATAGGTGTTAAAAGGACATTTAATTTAACTTTGCTGTGTCTTTTTTGATTAAAATTAAATTAATGTTTCAGGAAATTCAGATTTCGGTACAGGTTTATAGAAAGCAGACGACAATAGATTACCCCTTGTCCAAACATCACTTCATGTCTTCACGCTCTCATCCTACTCACAGTTTTCCTCATTATATCTAAGACAAAAAAGTAAAAAAAAGTTTTGCTTCCCATCCAGGAAGATTTTTCAATTATTTTTTAATCACCAGCTACTTTTAAGACACTTCTTCCATATTTTTTTTAATGTAGCTTCCCAATTTGCCTATTTTTGTGGAGCTGGTAAACTGACAGCTATGTTGGCCTACATACACATACAGACTGTTTCGCTATGTTTATCAGGACATTCCCTTGATTTTCAAATATTTTGGACAACGGTAATCAAATTCCTTAAATCACATGGGCATTAAACCTAACAAAAGAGGAAATTCTGGTTCATTATGACCAGTCCCCCCCCCCATCTTATTAAGAACTCCTGAACATGATGAAGTCAGTGAGGTATCAGAGGTTATCTCCCTCTAGGCTTGCATGGAAGCTGCTGCTGCTGCCATTCAGCTTGGCTGCACAGAGCAATGCAACTTGCAGACGAAGAAGGCTCAAGTTACTATTACTGGCTGTAAAATACCCTGTAAGACTTCAGCTGTTATCTTTTATGTAAAAGTATCTTGAAATAAATAGTTTTACATATAAGAAAATGTATTATAACCCATTTTTCCTTCTGATTAGAACTCTCTTAGCACTTCAGCAAAAAAAACAAAAACAGCCCCAGTAGCTTTTTTTGTTTTCAGCACAAACAACCAACTGCACTTCCTACTGACTGTCCCAGTCAAGTTTAACCCACAACCATCACAAAACATAAATAACTATTTGAGTTACAATGAAAACACTACCTAGTGTAAATTATGTATGGTAAGGCTTTAAATGTTTTAAAGACCCAGACTCCCTGAAACATTACAGGAAGGGTCAGTCTCAGACTTGAGGAGCAAGGATACGTCTCTAGAAAGAAAAGGTGTAAGTTTCTGGATCTTGTTTGAATTATGAGTTAAAGATTTGGCATACAGGGTCCCAGAAAGATAGACATTCAGAATTTGTGTGATACAAGTAAAAAAAAAAAAAATGCTGCTGCCAGAGACAAACATCTGGTCATCACTTATGTAAGCAAAACAATACTGTGTTTTTCTCACCACAGATGGTAAAATGTGTTGTCCTTTCAACACTTATCATACAGATGTTTTGCAAGAATATTAAATAAATAATGACCAGGGTCAATTTTTAGAAAGCACTTTTTTTCTGTTGTAATGAAGGAAAGTTAATCATAGTCATTACCAGATAATCTACAACCTTTACCAGGTCCCTGGACGGGCAACCAGCTCATCTTTAGGACACCTAAGAACTCAGATTTTGTTTTGTTTTGTTATTTTAGCATTTAGCTGTCAATCTACAAAAGCTCCTCCTCCTCCAAAACATTTTCCAGTTTTCCGATTAAATGCCTCTTGAACAAACATAGAGTTAATACCTTGGTTTTGATCGAACGCTTTGTTCTCAAACTTTCTCCGATCATGACCGAAACCTGGGCTTTCTGCTGTAGCCTCTTTGGGGTGAAGCATAGTTACAACTTCATTCATAGAAGGAGCCAAGCTAATCTGCAGGCAGAGAAAACCGTACGCAGGAATGCAGGTTTATCCCTCGTGAGGAGGCTACATACTGGGGCGCAGGATTCAAACCAGGCCAGGAGATATTTGCTTAAGAGCAATTAAGTCTTAGCACAGAACTGAATAATGAAAATATTGGAGTGTTGGAGGAGAAATTATGCTCTTAGATCAAAGTCAAATCCTTTTCTTTTGAGATATAAAAAGTGTCTGTACTATTGGTCATTCCATAAACTACTGATAACTCATGTTTGCTGACCACCGTCCTTAATGAGCATCAGAATCAGCGAGTTCACAGTTTAGGTTCAAACTGTAATCTGAGCTAATCTGGATTATACGTTTTAACACCATCAGTCAACCTTCTCTCCTTTTTCCTTAATCTTTGGCCACCGGTTACACAACAGCCATTGAAATCTCACTGGGACTCACTGTTTCTCTGTGTGAGTGTGTGGGTTGGTGTTCTGGCAGGATACCGCCGTCGGTTCGCTGATTTTCCTCTGCTGCTGCAGCACAAGAATTAATCCCAAATGTAGTCCAGGTTGAGGGATTTGAGGCTGGATGTGGTGGTATTTTAGAAAGACTGAAACAAGGACATGAAATGGTGTTTCACTGACCTGGAATTGCTTTTAGTTTCTCACCACTGATGCAAAATGTCGAGAGGGGGGAGGATGAATAGGGAAGAAGCACATCCCCTATCTGTCAGCATCAAATTCAGACTATCTTAAATTGTTTAAAAAGGGATTGTTTTTGTTCCTTGTGTGAATTCCATGTTGCTCTTTTTCAACTGCAGACTTCAGTGTATTTGGTTTGACATGGTGATTACTCCAACATAAAGTAAAATATACGATTTTTCTATTTTAAAGATAGCCCCCCCCCACTCGAATGCCCAATGATACATCCAAAGCAAACCAGTTATCTTTAGATCACAACCAACAATGATATAAAATCAATCTGAATGTAGTTTAATCTCACTATTGATCCAGTTGTTCTGTGAAGGACTTAGAGGGTTTTCGTGAAACATAAGAAAATATGGTATTATGAAGACAGAAGAACAACAAAGTTGTAGAGAAAGGTGCAAAGTTCAGCCTATCTATAAATGTGAAGACAAAAGCACAACGGTAAACCCATGAAAACATAGCGGCTGCTGTAACTGGCTGGCTAACCAAAGCGGTCATTAATCAGGAGTGTCCCGACAGAACTTCTTCATTAAGGTCAATTTTGAGTATTGGCTGATATCAGTATTGACCTAATACTGCACCATCACATATCATAGAAGGTTTTATTACTTATTTAGTAGGGTGGGATGATGACAATGTGCTTGATCAGAGGATATTACCAGAACAGAGGAGAACAACAGACCCATTGACTATTAACCATTTGGTTACACAAAACTTAAACGTACAGATATTCTTTAGTTAAATGAAAAATAATATATTAAAAGACCGGAGGATTGTGCATGACAAGTTTTGCATTCAGCTGCAACATCTTTTTGGGGCCTTTAATAAAACGAACAGCCACCCTACCCATTTAGCTCCTACTCTATGTATTGTAGCATCTGTGATTTAGGCTCTTTGTGTGACTTACAAGTGCTGTTAGATGTACGTGCTGGAGCAAACTAAATAAAGGAGCTGAACTAAACCTACAGAACTACAATAACATTTTTAATTTTTCATGTGTAGGAATGGTCATCTACAGTAAGTCAAGTTCAGACCTAAAGGAAGGGGAGAATCTGTAACCTATTCTCTAAATCTACAAACGGCACTGCTTTTTTTTTTTTTTAGTAAAACAACTGGAAACCATGTATCTCTGTCTGTTCAGTTCAATTAATGTTGTCCTTTGTAAACTTTTAGTTAATTGCCTGATGAGATTGTGACAGCAAGTTTATATAAATAACTTTTTCATAATTTTCTAAGAAGTTTCCATAAAACACGAACATCAAAATTGCAAGAAAAAACAGGATAGTATTTCATTGCAACGTCCTCTTAAAATAATGTCCCCATGTCATTTTTTTCAGGTTTTTTTAGTAGACAAAAAAAAAAAACCTCTTTGCTTTTTAAAGCAGGGGTGGAAATGCAGGATTTACATAACTGGTGATTTTTTCCATTTAACAACCAGCATCATGAGGGAAAAGATTCACGAAAAAAAAATATCATTTTTGGCACAAAAAAAAAATCTTTTAGGAATATGGTGATATGTTTACTGAGTCAAAAAGTAAAAAAGTAAAAAAAAAAAAGTAAAAGTAAGTTATCGCATGTGACAAGAGCACCTTCTTCCACTTGTTGGATCTGTCTCTCATTTGGCGTGTGGCAACCATCAATAATTGACTTCTTCTGGATTCCTTTAAAAAAATAATTTCTTTACATTTCTTTTGCTAAATACCCAATTTAGAGATTGAAGAATCTACACTTATCCTCTAAACAGATGACTCCAAAACCTTGGAGTATCTCTTAGTGTTAAACTTGATAGAACCACTTAGGGGCTCTTTGATGTTTTGTGAAGTATTTATCTTTTGGTCTGTTGTGTGAAAAATGCTCAGCTGTCTCTTTGTCTTCCTGTTTGCATCCGTCCCCTGTCCCTCTTCCTGTCCCCTCTCTGCAGGCTGTAACAGGGAAGAGCTTTGGAAACAAAGACTTCCGCAGTGCGCTGGAAAACGGCATCCTGTTATGCGAGTAGGTTCCTGACATCGCTCTCTTCAGTTTCTGATGCCTGACCTAGCAGCAGGACTCCATAAATCTCTTCTGTTCCCTTTTTCTACACAGGCTGCTGAGTGCAATAAAACCAGGACTGGTCAAGAAGATCAACAGACTGCCCACCCCCATCGCTGGGCTGGTAAGCGGACACCCCCACAGTGTGATATCCAGCCTATAAACTAACGTCTTGATAAGTGCTAACTTCCTGCTGTTTCTTCCAGGATAACCTGTCAGTCTTCCTACGAGGATGTGAGGAGTTAGGCTTGAAGGGCTCCCAGCTGTTTGACCCTGGAGATTTACAGGACACTTCCATACGAGCTAATTTCAAGTAAATGAGCTAATCCCTACAAAACTGTAAATATATGCATGCTTGAATCCTAGATTGTATATTAGCTAATATACTTCACTCTTTTAGGGACTCTGACTGCACCCGCAAACTAAAAAATGTAAGTTGTATTCTCTAATTTAATTTATTTCCTTACGTTCCCTTTGCTTGTATATGATGTATTTATATATATATATATATATATATATATATATATATATATATATAAACAATCAAGAAAAGTGAAAGCAAATATTGAATGTTTGCCTTTCAGGTGCTGAACACTGTTTTCTGGCTGGGAAAAGCTGCCAGTGGCTGTGCCTCCTACAGTGGACCTAATCTAAACCTCAGAGAGTTTGAAGGGCTTCTTGCACAAATGAGGCTGGTGAGTGAACTACTGACACTGGGTCCATTGCTCCCTAAACTGTGTAAAAATAAAATTTAAGATACAATTTTAGAAAAAAAAATAATTTTCCTACTTTTAAGTTGGCTGAATGTGAACAAACTTAGAGCAGCTTGAAGAAAACTGCTGTGTAGTAAAAACAGGCTCCTTAATCAGGCCTAGCTGATGGTAGGCAGCTAACTACTAATGACAGCAGAAGAGGAGGGGCTGTTTAGGGTGATGGGTACTGGTGGGTAAGAGGTTAAGTAGCATAGAGAGAACATGAAATAATATGACAAAATGATCAAAAACGTCATAATAATTACATTTTTATAAAGTCCCTTAGGACATTTTTTAATTAAATGTATTTGTAGTTTTATACTAGATGCTAAAATTAGGCAGAATAATACATTCTGTCCTTTAATGAGCAACCTAATATGACAATCGGATTTTTTGCTGTGCTTTGGTAGACAGCCTGCAGTCAGTTGCTTAGCAGGGGCTACTTGTAGCTAGCCAACCTTTATTTTTAAACAGCGTTATCATAATATGGGTGATGACACGTCTGAACTTTCCATTCCATGGTTCTTGGTGTTTTTGTTATTGGGCAATGTTTCCAAAAACCTGCACTTGCCCTTCTTTTTGGTTGGAGTAAAGTGGACTTCAGTCACTATAACATCAGGAGCCATAAGGCTTTAGATAAAGGGTGAGGAAATAGCAGCTTTATGAAAAATAGTATCTATTGCTTCTGGGCATTAAATTCTCATAATTTAAACCATTTTAAAGATTTAAAGAGAAAGAAAATTTGGTTTAGCAGGGGGAAAATAAAACATACAGGTAGACCTGGTTTTATTATTAGATATTACACGGCTTTTCTGTTCCACTTATTTTTTTATATTTTACTTTTTTATAGGATAGCGATGATTGTGGTGACAGCTCCCAAAAACGCAGCGTCCGAGACAGCGGCTACGACTGCTGGGACTCGGAGAGGAGCGAATCTCTGTCTCCGCCACGGCATACTAGGGACAACTCCCTGGACAGGTCTTTTTCAACACCCAGTCTGCATTTGTATTCAAATTAAATTAACATTTTGACTTCTTTTTTTTATTATTACATCTATTACTGAAGAATAAATATTTTATATTTCCCACTTTTACAGTCTGGATTCGTTTGGTTCACGCTCCCAGCACAGTCCCTCTCCTGATGTTGTGAATCGAGGCAACAGTGATGGTCAGGAATCTTTTTTGTATTTTTATCCCATTTAGAGAGACCTAAACCAGCTTCTTGCAGTCCTATTCCTGTTGGCAGTTATTTTAAAATCACACAAGTGAAGGATAGAAACAGTCAGGAGCAGGAATCCTGAGCTATTCCTGTTAACGCCAAATTATTAACCCATAGATAAACAGATGTTTATTTAGGTTTACCCTTGGAATAAGGTGACTAGTCAGCCTGAGTGCAAACAACAGCTGAACATCATAGCCTGGGTGTGTGTGTTCATGTTTATGCTGACTATTTAAAAGCTCTTCTGTTATACTCACTAATTCTCTGGAAACACATTTGTAATCGGGGCCGACAGACGTCAGTAAAATGTGTACAGATGTGTCCGATGCTTCTGCTTCTCCTCTGTTCAATGGCAGAGAGCGGCTTTGCTATATTTGCTGTTATAAGTGGGTAAAACGAATTTTTAATATGTGAAAAAGTCCACCAGAAAACTTAATCTGTGCAGTCATCAAGATTACGATCCTGCATTCAAATATTATTTCGCTGTCGGAGCCACTCTGTACACTGGCAGTGCTCTGTCACTGGGAATCCCGTTCAACAGCAGCCTCTGGCCCGATCACCTCTTCGTGGTTTTCCGCTACTGTTCGCAGTGGCTGGAAGGCCTTTTTCATGTACATAATCCAAACTGCAGGTTTCAGAATAATAAAATCACAATCACAATCAAACACATTTTGCCAGCAGGTTTCGACATTTTAAGTTAATTAAGGTATTAATAAACTGTTTCAGAGGAGTGATCACAGTGCTCTGCATCGGCAGTAATGTGTCTGTCTCCCTGCCAGCTCCCAATCAGCGTCTCTGATTGACTGATGTTGCACATTGTGCAGCAAAAATTTAAACTTTCCAACTCCAGCTGCTGCTGCTTCTGAAGCACGTCATGCACATCAGCTGCTCAGAAGCTTGTGAAGCCCTGCTTTGGCTGTTTAGATGCGCTGCAGGACCTTTTGTTGCGCCTTGATGCGCATCAACCATTGAACTTGCATGTAAACCAGCTGCTTCTGCATGGGGCGGTCTGAACGTAGCATTAGCGCTATGGAGTAGGGCTGCAACTAACGATTATTTTAAAAATCGATGAATCGGCCGATTATTTTTTCGATTAATCGATGAATCGGACAAAAAATATTTTTTATATTAACCTCTTTATTCCAAAATAAACATTTTAGACAGAACAAACAAGCACACAAGTTACAGGTTGCTCATTAACTGTACTGGTGCAATATGAAAAATAAATGTTTGTGTTAAAACTATGCAAACTTACATGAGAAATGTAGCTGTACATCCACAAAATATAGGGTACTTTGTTTCATAAAGCGCAAAAAAAGACATTTTTGTTTTTAAAAGCCCCTTAGGGGCTCAAACAATAGGTCCCCCCATTTCAACACATGAGGTTTTTTTTTTAGACTAGAAGAGTTCTGCCTTTTAAGACAGGAAAGTATAGGAGTTAAAGTTGCTACTTGAGAAAATACTTAACCATAGAGATAAAAATAGCCCTGTGATTCAAATTATAAATTGTATTTGCAATGAAAATGAGAGAACCAGGGGTGTTAAAAAAACACATCCTCCAAAGACAGATATTTACATGGGAATGTGGCATATAATTAATTGACATATTACTGATCTTGCTGGATTTTATTCTGCTTTACTTCCATAAATTGCAGGATCTTTACTTTATCTTTGCCAGAAGATTTAAACTTTAAAAATCTTGCCCTCATGGTTTGCAAGTTAATTTATTTATAAAGTAAATGTAAACGCTGCTTAAGCTAATTCAAATCAAATTAAAAGTAAAATAAGTAGCCAACCTTATCACTGTCTGTGACCTACTAACACGGTAAGGAAAGCATCAGATGGGCTACCTGAGAAACTAACGTTACGTTTCCCCACTTTAAAATGAAACAAACATGGTGGTTCCGTGCCATGTTAATTTGTTTTGACAAAAGTTGCATGTTACGACTTTTTTCGCTTTACAAAGCGCAGGCTATTTTAATTATTGTGATCAATTTGCGCCGTCAATCCCAGTGCATGCGCGCTTCATTTGCAGTCTGGACGCTGAGGGTAAACATCCTGCGGCTCTGACTGCAGCGCTGAGAGGGACTCCTGCGGGAGAACGGGGTTGGGATGGGGGAGGCGCCTCACGGCAGAGTAGGAGCGATACATGCTTTCACGTAAGAGTCTCCAAAAGCCCCCAGTGACACCGTAAAAAGTCGCCAGATTTGTCGCTAGTCGCTTTTTTGAAAAATAGTCGCTGGAGGGGTCTGAAAAGTCGCTGAGTTGGCAACACTGCACCTGGGTTTTTGAAGTAAATAGCAAATGTAATAAATATGACAAAATTATTTTCTTTGTTCCTTGATGACCAGGACGAGGCAGCGACTCGGAGGCTGATGCTCCCAGCAGGAAACCAGATGTGCGGAAAGATGACATGTTGGCCAGAAGAACAGCCAGCAGTGAATCCCGATGCCCAGTCCCCTTTAACCAGTTCCTTCCGAATCGAACCAACGCCAGTTGTTATATCCCGGCACCACGACGGAAACAAAACGTTGAAGAGGGAGAGCAACGGAGGTAATTTATTTTAAGAAAAAAAAAAAAAAAAAACTAAAAGCTTTTCTGTAGAGGTAAAAACCCACAAGTGTCTGGTCTTCAACACTCATCCATTCCTGCCATTACACACTGTTCCCCAGTCACCTTCAAACCACACCAGAACAGTTCAAAAGAACGGGAATGCACCACAAAACCCCCAAGATGGTGACTTGGGCACCGGAAAACAAAGGTGAACAAGTAAAACAGGGAGCGGACTTGGAGGTTTTGGAGGAGAGGAGGTTGGAGAAGTTGAAGAAGGCAGGAATCAGAGTCCTTCCTGCTGCTGCTCGTTACAACAGGTCAGGGTGGACGAGCATGAGAGCTGCTGCTTGTGTTTACTCACTAACAGATTGTGTTGGCAGATTTCTGGAATGGAAGATTCTTTATGATGAAGTCTGTGTCTAAATCATGGGTTTGATGGTGGTATTGTGAGAGTATATTGACCAGAAAAAGTGGTCTGTTGTGTTAAAGGTGTCACATGCTCCCTTATTGTCATCTGCTGCTGCTTTTCTAAAAAAAAATTTATAACGCATCAGAAGATAAACTAACCATCTAGACCGTCGGCAGTAATCCGCACAGTCCTGCTTCTGAGTGATAAATTCTACCAGAAGTTCAATTTCCCTTCTATGAAATTGACTGCCTCCTCCTTTACAACCCCAGCACTCCCATAATGGAGGAACAGGAAGTGAGGTCACCATCTCCACCAAACATTATTATTCGCTCGGAAAACGAATTTTTGAGCTCTCACAATTCGGCCTGCGACTCCTCCTCTGAGGGGGAGCAGGAACCGGAGGGGCGGAAGGTTCCTGATGTTCATAGGGATGACTTAGCGTCCCGACGAGTTCACCGGAGCCCAGCTAACTCCAGGGTTCACCAGTTCGTCCCGCCTCCTGTGTGCACCAACAAGGACAGAGAGCGCTGGGAAGGCATCAGGCGAGCTTCACAGCAAACCCTGCAGGAGAAGGAGCTCAGGTCAGCCCTGGAATCATTATTAGTACATTTACACATTTCTTCTACTCAGTTGCTTTACAGGTGTTGTTGTCTTGTTGGGTGACATACGCTTCGCTCTGCTGGATAATGTGCTCCTCTTATTGTCTCTGGTTGGTGATTGGACAGTGAGAAGGAAGCAGTCTCTGACATCATAACTCGTAAAGAGAATCCCTTCCTGAAGGTAGATCGGGATGAGGAAGAAGAAGAGGGGAAAGATGAGGCAGTGCCTAACAGGCAGAGGGATGACCTGGCTCGTAGACGGGGCCAGATTAGGCCCCTCCCTCAGAAGGACGGACCAATCAGCTTTGTTTCATCCTCCATGAGCCAAGCTGATATGCAGAAATGGGAGAGACTGAGGATGACTGAACCAAGGTGCCAAACACACTCCCTGCCTGAGAATGCTGCAAGGCTTTATAATGCACATTTAATGTCAAATGAAAAGATAGGACACCCTATGGAATAATCCATTCTGTCAAAAGAAATTCCTGCACATCGATACCTTTGTTTTGTTAGTCTCAGGTAAAAACAGTGAGGTAGTTACAAGTAACCACTGAATATTTCCCTTGTTATCACCATTACATAAAAGAGATCAACAAAAATGTGTTTGTTTAGAAAAAATGGCAGACCCCCTCTTATTAGCTGAAATAAGCCCATTCAGTCGCTTCTTGTCACCATCTAGCACTGTCTCAAACCTTCAATTCTGAGATGTTTCATTTCGAGCTTGCTTCATTTATTTGACAACTTTTAAAGGAAGTAAAGATCTCTGGACTCTGCCCATTACTTTCCATTTCTTTAATCTAAGCCAGTCCTTATTATACTTCCTGGTATATTTTGGGTCAATAGAAGTTTACGCAGCTTAGTCGTTGTTCACTTTTAATTGTTTTTTCACAGTTGTTTTCTTGTTTCAAACTTCCTCTGAAACAGGGTAGAATTGATGGTGAATTGGTGATAGTGAGCAATGATAATGGCAGCAATGATAACCTGCTGTAGATCCCATGACAGGTTGTCATTTAACAGTTTTAATCTACAGTTGGGATCAATAAAGTTTTATTGAACTGAGTTGAATGTTTGGGTCAGAAATGCAGATTTATCTATTTTTGTTGTATTTTTTAGGGAATATTTAATTCTGTTTCCAGAAGAGAGCCTCAGAGGCTGTAAAAGGGTGTCCTATTTTTTTCATCTGACTGTTTTCTGTTTTTGTGTTAAATTATTTAAAAAATAGCAAATTCCTCAATAAAGGAATGCCAATCAAAAGTTCAAGGTAATAATGTTTTTCTTAAACATCATTCTACGGACCGTTCACATGTGGCACCCTGGTAAAAAGAAAAGCAAGTAATTAATCCTTAAAATGAATCCCATATGAGTACAGAAACCTCATCTCTCTCAAACAGTATTTAGAAAAATCAAACCGACAATATTGTCTTTTTGTTGTTGGTGGAGATGAATGTTCTGCTGTGTGACGTTTATTGTCATATCAAGAAATCGCACAGAGAAAAGAGTTCTGCACCCAGAGTCCGCATTGATTAAAACCTTAAAACCGCCCAACTCCATCTTTCCTCCACATAGAGAGGACAATCTGCAAAGCTAACTATTAGAGAACTGAGATGAACAATGGCATTCTGGGAGAGAACGTTTCCATAGCAAGGAGGTTCTTAGCGACTGACTCTGCAGAAAGTTGGCCATCTCGACCCACTCTGCGTGTCAACATCTGCTGCCCCCGCTCAATAATTTTTAATTTCACTTCATGGTTGGGTTGGTGTCATTACCAATCAGTTTCACTGTGTTTTAATATTGCTGACTGTTGTTGGTAAAATATTTAGGGGCAAGGAAATTTTACAATCTGACTTGTTGGACATATCGCCTCCTAACACAACACCATGCTGGAGCTCACTGAGAGCAACCCAGTCATACAAACAAATGTTGAGGGATTCCAAGTATTTGGGCGATCAATTGTTTTTAAGAGCTTTGTACACATTTTTACCAGGAGTGCCAATAAATGTGAGGGGGCTGTATGTGCTAATCTGTGTCTAAATTGGAAATTATGAACCCTGAGGTAATGCCTGTAGTGGCTTTTTAACAACCCAAGCATGAAAATAAGATATAAATATTGGACGTTTAACCTGTTATTTGATTGAACTAACATCTCCTTGTTAAACAATTGTAGTTCTGAATGAGTACGCCTTAAACCTCCCTGTTCTCCCTTTCCCTCTCACCTCGTTCTGGATTATCTTTATCATTTGGGCTTGAGTTCTCTTTATTCCTGTTCAACTGGCATTGGAAAGGAGCAGGGAACTGGCTGCTCTGTATGAGAGCTGATGTGTGAATGTGTGTTTGACCAAAAACAAAACAGTTGGCTGCAAGCAGTGCCCCGGCTTTGTTTTTGTCTTCGTGCTGATCTCATTGCGACATGAGGAACAGGATAAAGAGTTTTTTGTGCTCTAACGGAGCAGCAGCGAGTAGGAAAATGTAGCTACCTACAGTACAGGAGATAAAACGCTAAGTGCGTTCTTGTGTGCTGAAGTGATGCAGACAGACAACCCTAAGCTTTGTCCTCCACTGGTCATCCACTGCTTCCTGTCTGACAAAACATTTCAACCTCAACGACCTTTTGTCTTTACAGCCCGATCTCCTTTTTCATGATTTCTCTTCCACCCTATTCCTCTGTCTCATGCTCTTCTGCTTGCCGTGCGCGTCTGTGTTCCTTGCTTTGGTATGAGACCGGATTCACAGTGAGGATAGGCCAGCCCCTGTGTGTCAAGCTTGTCTGCAGAAAACTTATGGAAGACCTGTCAGCGGATCAGCTAAAGCTGGACGAGGTCACAGCAGAGTAGTGACCTTTGGGGGCGTGACTGAGATCGAGCAGCCGACAGACAAAGTCATGTCGGGAGGAGGGGAGGAGACGGAGTTGCTTAGACGACTCCCTTCCAAGGCAACAGTAGCCATGCCTACCACTGGCCTGGCCTCCCAGCTTTCAGAGCGGGAATGCAGGTATGGACGAGGCCAAAGCCCAGACGAGTTAAAGTAATGGCCCCAATCCATAATCGCCTCCACTAGTCTGTGCTACTCTTAACGATAGAAGGCCCTTTTCTGTCGCTTTACTTATCAAGTTAGTTAAATAAACTGCTTGTTGCATTTTTATCAGGTTTGAAGGTCCTAAAGGCTATTCTCCCTTCTCTACCTAGTATAAGATTTTCTCCATTGCACTGCATTGCATTGATTGCTTGTAGTTTTGTTAGAAGGTAAAGATGCACGAATGCATGCAGAATTACCAGAGGAACTTATTGAATCAGCTAGACATCTGATGGACTAGCTTAAATTCATTCAGGGATGGCTCATTCAGAACTGTTTAAAAGAAACAGCTTGAAAGAACAATTAGCAATAGAAATAAGCTATGGATTCTGCAGTTCTGTGCCTCATCTCACCTGCTTCCTATTTTAGAGCCTTTATGCTTTTATCCTCAGTGCTCTGCTAAAGTGTTGATACCCTTTTAGATTTGTTCAAGCTTGTTTTTAACAACCTCAGAATTCAATGTATTTTGGTAAGATTTTATGTAACTGAGTGTCCCCAGCGTAATACTTTGATGATCATCAATCCTTCCATCAGACTCTCAAAAGGACTAAGATCTTGTGCTCTAACCTTAGCCATGTCATCGTCCTGCTGGAACAAGGCCCCCTTCTCGACTCTAATGCAGCCATTTAACATTTTTTCACATAGTATTGGCCTGTGTTTAGCTCAGTCCACCTCCCCATCAGCTCTTAAACCGATTTTCTGTAGAAGGAAGCCCACAGCATGATACTGCCACCAACATGTGTACATGAATGGGAAGATGTGCAGCATCGGTTTTCTTTCATGCAAAGAGTTTGGAATGGGTTTGGTTTGTATTGTATGTTGTGTAGCCTGTGTCAATTTTAGAGCATACTTTCTATGGCTTTCTTGTGTGATTTTGCGTGCTTTTTAAATTTTAACACCGTATCATTCTGTTTCTTCTTTATGATAATGAGTTGTTTTGTGTTGGTCTATAACATACAATGCTAAGACAATACACTGAAAGTTAAGTTACAGAAGTTCAAGGGGTCGGTAAACCTTGAGGCACATTGGTTCCTTGATCTGTTCCTGATTGCCATGTTCTGCATGTTTTAGACGTCTCCCATCTTCGAATGCCTTATTCAGATAGCTTTAATGTCTCAGTCTCTTTCTGAGCTTTGCTCACGTGTGCATGTCCAATTAGGGAAAGTACTTTCTTTATTTGTTACAATAAAATATATTCTTATCCCTTTAACTTTATTTGCTAATGTCAGCAAATTTCTTAGGCTTGCTTTTTTTGCTTTGTTTATTTGCCTGTTTTAGATTTGGAGAGGCATTATTGTTTTCTGCTCCTCTAACCTGCTTCTAAAAATCTTTACATTTGATCGCCGTCATTGCAGTGGTTTTTGGGTATCAGTAACCCAACTCTGTTGCTTTGACTTTGTGCTTCATGCTGCACTCTAGCGGTCTCATGGATGGACCTGTTCCCAGTCTAGCCACCCCTCCCTCTGTGGATCTCCAAACCTGGACCACAAAGTCCTCCCCTACTCCTGCTGAGATAGACGCTCGTTTTGCTCAGTACAAGCAGAGAGCTGAAGAAGAGGAGGAGGAGGAAGAAGAGGACAGGATCCCTGATCTTCAGAAAGATGATATGATGGCCAGGAGGACGGGGATATTCCAGAAACAAACAACCGGACCAGCAGGTTACAACCGTTTCCTGCCTTTGCCTGGCTCAAAGTGGTGCAGCCGAGGAGAGGCTACTGCTGCTGCTTCTTTTAACAAAAAGGAAGCACAGGCAGAAAAAAGCGAGGAGCTCAGCACCAGGTGGGCTGAAAGTTCGCGTTTGCTGTGCTTAACAGGGTGCAGAAACCACTAACAAGTTTGATGTTGCTTGCTTAGTCATCGGTGTATTAGTTATTTAAATTACAGACTTCTCTACCTTAGAGTGGATAACCAGCATCTCAGAGTTTCCCAAGAAATGCCTCAACACCAAAATGACCCTACGGTGATCAGAGCAACGTCTCAAACAGAAAGTGAAGACGAAGACGAGCATGATGCAATGGATCATGGCCCTGACCCAGAGAAAGATGACATGATGGCTCGAAGAACCAGATTGTTACAGAAACCAGGTGTGATCAGAGGAAATCCCTGCTGCAATCAGTTCCTTCCGGTCCCTGGATCGGTCAAATGCAACATCAGCTCAGTGTCTGCAGGGAAGCAGTCATGCAGCGGGTCTAAACTCACAGAAAACACAGACAGAGAAAGGTATTTACTGTGCTGAAATGAAGACATGGGTGTTATGTTGGTAACCTCCTGTCAGTAACACTAGAATCATTTGCAGATAAAGTTTGAATGCTAGTGGCCACATGTGCATGGAAAGTCATCAGATTTCCTATGGGCAGACAAACTTGTACCATCAGAAAATACATTTGTATTGCCCTGACTGAATCGGTTTTAAAGTAATTTGAAATCAAATACATTATTTAGAAAAGGAAGTTCACTCAATCAAATCTGAATTTAGCGGTTTGAATGTGAATACATTTGGTTTAAAGATTCCGTTTTTTTAATAGAACATTCAAATTTCTCTTTTTTTACTTTCAGCTCTATAATTCAATTTTTAGTTACTTTGTGTCACAATTAAGATAGACTAATCAAACAGATTCCCAGATTTGCACTGGAGCATACATGAGCTTTGTAGATACCATACCCATGTCAAACATGACTGGGAAACCCAGAACAACACCAGCAACATGCTATGCTAATTTAGCATCTTTAGCTAATAGCTACAGATAGCTGGTACAGTTAGCCATCTTTTTTTTCTTTTCTACATGATGCTAATATGATTGATAATTTCCCATTATTAATGACACCTAGCAAGCTAATTTTTGATTATTCTGTGGCTTAAATCTTAACACAATGAAACATAACTTTCAAATATAAATTGAAATATAGACCCAAAAATAAAACAGACCAGTTGAAATTAATTCAGTTTTCAACAATTAAATTCAGTTTTAATTTACTGAAAGTCTTTCTCAAACGTTTGCATTTAATTGCATATTACATAAATGCAGATTCAATCCAGGAAATTCAAATGAAGTTTCTGATAGCACAAGTTTCTATCCGTAGTATCCTGGCTATCTGAAGCTAGTCCTGAATTAATTGACTTGTTTTGGGTTCTGCAGGATCGTTTAATCATATTATTATTCCTTGTGTGGATGTATCTTTGGTAAAAGGCTCATCATTTTTAATCAGTTGAATTAATATGTCCTACCCACTCTTTTCACCCTCTTGAATGGCTCAGTTAATGCCTTGTTGAGACTAGCATTGTTTTTTCCCCCTTTTTTGTTATTACAAACTTTGGCTTTGGTTGGCATGACTGTTTGCTGAGTTTCAGCCGCTAATTAATCTGTCAGATTTTATCGTTTCCGAATAAATCAGAACTGAATCCAAATGAAACTGCTTGGAAGCCACTTTAGAGAAGAACGAGTGTTTCTGTAAATTCATAAAATAAATAATTTAAACAAATATAAACTCATAATTGAGTCTGCTAGAGTTTAGACACCTTTAGAAAATATAAAACATTCTTAGAAAAAAAATCATAATGGACCCATAGTGGAATATTAGAAAAACTTTTTGAGAAAAAAGATAGAAACTTCCTCAGAAGATTCTGATATGATAGAAAATAGTGTATCATACGTATTAACATAATTAGTTGACCTGCTCTATAAAGTATTGGCAAACAGGTCATAGGATAACAGAAAATAAATGTAATGAAACTTGGATTTATTCCGAAGAGCTGATCAGTCATCAGTTTTTTGGAAAGCAGTTCTGATTTACCATTTTGGTGTGTACCCTGTTAATCCTGGCTCTATCAATGGCTCGTTGTATCAGCAGCGTTGTTACCATGGCAGCAGAACATGAAGCCTCGCCCTTCAAAGCCCCAACCAGCCTGAGGTGTCCTGGGTTGATAGGGAAGGAAAAGCTAGAAAAGAGAGAAACTGTGATGGTCCATAATGCTGCTGTGAGCGAAGTGACTGAACCATCATTATCATCCTCCTCCTCTTCACTCACACCTCCTCCCAGCATTCCCTCGACTCAAATCTGTAAAGCAGAGGAAGAGTTGGAGGCTGGAAGAGAGGAGGAGAAAAACAGTGATGGGAATCTGGAAGTGGAAAAGAAACCATCTTGGACAGAGGATGATCTTCCTCCAATGATGTGAGATGAATGTTTGCTTGTTAATCATTTCTCTGATTTGACCAACAGGACAGTAGTGCTGACATTCAAGCTGGTCTATTTCTGTTTTATACATATTTGTCTATTATTTATAATGGTGACATTTGAAACTTCTCTCATTTCCCCCCTCATCAGCTGCCTGTTTAAGCTTGTCATTCCAGCCTTTTGTCCTTACTTTCTTTCCTCTGCTGCTGTTATAGGGTGAGCCGACGTGTTGCTTTTCTGTTAGACATTGAGTAAGTTTTACCAACTGAATATTTCTGAGGTCCTGCATGAAGAAGTATGTCTGCATGTCAGTTAAGAACTGCCAAAATTCTCTGCAACATACAGGCATGAAGGAACTATTTCCATGGCCTTTGTTTGGCATCTCATTGTGCATTTTTACCACTTGGCCTGATTGTTTTATTGCTTATCTCATTGTTTCATTACTTGGTCTTCATAACCTTGCATTTTGTCCATCGAATGCTTGTTCAATGTATTCATGACCCCAAAATTGATGTTATTTGGATTCTTAGAGCTGTTTTTTTTGTTTATCTTTGACTGGTTTTGATCAACAGTTGTTGTTTAATTTTTCATTCTCACCCTGACAGCATGGCATCCAGTTTGTTCTAAACATTTAAAGAAAGTCCTCAAAAGAAGTAAGATCAGTACTACAGGTTTGCAAATGATGTACAGTATTAACTATTTATAGCCTTAAAGTTGATCAAACGCAACCAAATGTAAGAGATGTACCGTATAATTTTTCAGTTAATCGTCACATTTTTATTTTACAGTTTTTATAAATCTTATAGCTGGTGCTAAATTATATCTTTGATTTTTTTCTCCACAGAAGAATAAAACTGCTTAAACGTTACGTTTAAAGCTGGTTCTTTGCTAGGTTGTTTGGTTTAGAAGCCGTTTATTAAATATATTTTTTTGGTCCTGGTGCTCTTTAACCGTTGAAGCTTTTCCCCTTTTGTTTAATATTTTATTCATCTGTTTAACCAGGTTAAAACAATCCATTGAGGGGAATGTCTCTTTTTTTAATTATAACCCTGCCAAGACTTTGACAACTTCATATCAGAGACACAAAGCACTTAAGTAGTTTACAAATACAATACAATAAATTACATATGCATGCTGACATAAAACAAATAAATTAGGTACTAATTAAAACATAGCAAAGTATAGTCAAAACCAATCAATTTTAAAAGGGCATGTCCCAGTTTCTGATCTCCAGTGGAATATTTCTGTCTCGCCCTCTTTGACAGTTTTTGTTTCTTAAAGCTACAGTGTGTAATAATTACAGGGATATACAGTCAGAAATCTAATATATTATACATAACTATGTTATTTATCATCATCTACGAGCTCAGCCTCTTAACCTTAATATTTGCGTTGCCTTAGAATTCGTTATTTATAATTACATAGGAGCGGGTCTCGCAGCCATGGAGGCAGACATCTTTGCGCTACGGCAGCGCAGAGCCAACAAACTAGCGATTGCGAGATCGCCCATTACGCTCGAAAGTAACTACGGCAAGTTGAGAGAGATGAACTGAGACGGTACTGAACACACAGACTAATGAAATACTATTTGTAAAATTATATATGTAAAAAAACCTCATTACTTGAGAAGGTAGGTGATGCGGACGTCGTGGAAGACATTTTGACCCGTAACGCTCGCCGTACTGTTGGGGGTAGAAGCGGTGGGGGGGAGATGTTCATGTTGCTGCTGTCTGCAGTCTGGACGTTAGATGTCGCTGAAAATTACACACTGTAGCTTTAAATCTAAATCTACTCCTAGCCAATGGTGATGCTATATATATTATATAATTCAAAAAATAAAGTTCACTTGGAGTCTTTTGATATGTACATGTCTAGAGGCAGGAAAACAACAGAAAACATCTCTGCAGACCCCACACATGCTGGACTTTTTAAAAGAATTTTCTTTCAGGTGGCCACTACAGAGATGGTCTGCTGCCTCTGAACACAGAACAGAGTGCTGAGGTCAATGCTACACATATTCATCTTATTAACCTAAAAACAATGTAGAAATAAATGTTTTTTTCTTCCACCAGTCTTTTAGTGAGAGGTGGTATGGGTACATGGATCAGATCCATGTCAAAATTCAGTATATGACATTGTCTTTAATTATATACAACTTTAATCAAATAGATGCGACATAATACCCCTCGCGACCCCACTTGGGACAAGCGTGTAAAGAAAATGGATGGATGGATGGATGGATGCGACATAATGTATTTTAATAGTTAGTCATATAATTGATTCATAAAAAATGCAAAACCACCAAAAAACAAACAAAAACGTCTGCACAGTGATTAGGTAGAATGTGTATGAATAGTGTGTTTAATGGTTTAAAATAAAAATGTTTCGGGATGAAATGGTAACAACACATGAATGATATATTAGTCAGATTTACATCGAGAGAAATTCTCAGAAAGCCTGATTGTTAAAGGCTACAGAAAGCTTATCTGCTTGAAGGAAACAATGTCAAGTAATAAGAGATTTAAAGAGTTAGACACCTAAAAATTGTTATTTAAAGTTACTATTTTCTTTTCTTTTGTTTGCTGCTGTTTCATTAAGTATTTTTCATCTTTACTCTCAATTTTGTGAGCAGCAAAACCCATGCATATATTTTTCAAAAATCTTTTTTTTCGAGTTAGATTGAATATTTACATTGTCTAAATTTCCAGGAGTGTGAGTATGGGTGACATGGCCAGTGAAGAAGAGGTGGGACATTTACCTTCGCTGAGCCCGTCACGGCCTGAGCGCATGCATCAACAATGTAACGCTTTTTTGGAAGAGGAGGACCACTGGCAGGATGTGAGGATCTTCATGTTCTATAACTGTTTAGTGGTTGGCAGAGTTGAAATTGTCTGAAAGTGTGCATTTGCATTGTCTTAGGACCTGGCTCGCTGGAAGAGTCGCCGTCGCAGTGCATCACAGGAGCTGATTAAAAAAGAAGAGGAAAGGAAGAGAATAGAGAAGAGGATGAAGGAGGATGGATCAGACAGCAATAAGAGGAAGAGCATTAAGACCTACAAGGAGATTGTAGAGGAAAAGTAAGTGCTTTGCTGTTGCCTTAAACATTACACTAACATATGTCAGCATAATTAAGCTGTGTTTTGATTCTTCTTCTTTTTAGAGAACGTAGAGAAGCCGAACTGTGCAAAGCCTACAGAAATGCAGCGAGTCCAGAGGAGGCAGCTTTGGTTTTGCAGCGTTATGCTCTTCGTTTCACCATCAGCGACGCAACACTGGACAGCCTGAAGCTACCCAGAAGCACCAACAAACCCAATAAGGACCGAAACCAGACAGAGCTGGAACACAAACCAGCATCAGATGTAGATAACTCAGAGACACTGAACCATACAACCACACTGGAATCAGAGGTTTTAATAAAACAGGAGCCCTCGTTAGCTGCCGACGTAAACACAGAGGGTACACATGAAAAAGAGAAACTTGGTGTCATCAACACCAGTTGTTTGACACCAGAGACCAACTCACTAATAGAGAAGCCTCAATCAGAACCACTTCCTGATCCACCTTCCCATATGACAGAGCCACAGCCTGAGCCTCAAAAACCGTCGGACACAGCAGCACCGCAGCCACAGTATGAGTGTGCTCCGCCTCAACCTGCACAACCCAATCAGATTCTCCCCTCTCCTCTGTCTGCACCTTCCAGACCCCTCCCCCTGCTGGTAGCAAAGCCCTACTGCCCGCCCAAGAGCTCTCCCTTTGGACACAAACCTGTCCAGGTCGAAACGGTAGGAACTATATATGTATCTGTCTGAATACAACATGGATTTCAGAATAGTAAACTGCTCTGTCAAATTATCTCTTCGACATATAAAACGAGACCATGGTTAATAGTTTCCAAGCTTTTCTTACCTTAAGTGTAACAAAGATTATGTACATGTCAACAGATATGCAATCAAATGGTTTTGAAGACAATGTCAGCATTTAGTCAACCATCATAATCTAATTAACCTGAGAAAGGGTCCAGGACATTTATCAAATATATAGTTAGAACAAATAGGGTTGAATGAAATCAAAAGGTGCCCCAAAAATGTACTAGTTTAAAGGCCTAAAGGACATTAATTGAAACAGATTATTGTCCTGTTTGGGCTTTTCCTTTAATGGATTGTTTGTTTCTCAGTGGAGTTGTCAAGAAGTTCATGTGAAAAAATACTAAAGAAATGTAACGTTGATGATCACTGCTTTTTGCTCCCCGTTGGTCACATAAATCCGCCTCCACTGCGTGGTGCATGCACCATCTTTGTTATCAGTTGCCGCTTTCAGGTAGCAACAGCCAATGGCCACAGTGGGCTGCGGTGACAGCAAATCTCGTGATGCTTTGCGAGGAGAGCTCTCCGTGCAAAGCATTCTGGGATATACTGCTATATGGATGAGCACGAAGGACGGCCTTACGTAAACATAACCAGAATGATTGACAATTAGGAGGATCACTTATAAAGATGATAAACCCTGAAATAAAAGATCGTCCTCTATACCTTTAAATAGCTTGGTGATACAAATACCAACTCACCCAACAACATGGTTGCACATGAGTACATAAAGAGAGCCAGACCGATTAAAGAGAGCATGCTGGGGTTCACAGCAACCAACAAAATGTGAAGGGAGAACAATTTAAGATATTTAGCTGCTTGCTTATTAAATCAGAAAGTTTTTTGTCCTGTATCATGTTCAGATGGACGAACCGGTGCGGGTAAACGGAGAAACGACAGAGGATTTCCCGTCCCCTCAGGACTCACTACAGGAAGACAAAGATGTTTCCTGCAAACAGACAGAACAATCCGATCCTCCAGAAGAGACTGTGGAAAGTCCAAAGACTGCAGAGCAGCCGGAACCTCTGCAGAAGGAACAGTCAGCCCCATCCTCAGGCTCCGCCATCAGCTCCCTGATAGCAGGAAGAAACTGTATCATCAGAACCACAATTGTGACAGAGCTTACAAAGACCCATGTGGAACCGCTTAACTCAGAGGTCCAGAACAGCGGACAGGTAATCAAGCTACTTTTTTACATTTCTAAAGCTTTACTTTGTTTTTTGAACATCTTGTAGGTTGGATCCATAAACAAAGCTTTATAACAATTTTGTTGTTGTTGATAGTGACTGGCTTTACAGCATTTTATTGATTTGGTTTAATAGTTCTTTCCTAGGGTTCATTGATTATTCATATTTCATGACTTCATAATTTATTGGACTTTCAGGACATCTTATTGACTTTTAGGCCGCTTTGTGATGTGTTTAGGTTCTTTCCTCCACTGAAATGCCTCACTGGAAGGATTTGCTATGCTTTGTCTTTCTCATCATCTCAGATATTCTCCTATTCTGGGCAGTTTTCCTTCCTCTGTGCTAATGGTGACCACTGTGATTCATGCATGCTACTGTAATGCTTCACTCACAGGGTAGTGTCCTCAGAAATAGCATTGAGCTAGAATTGGTGTTGTTCTCTAAGGGCGAAAAGTTAATTTAAAACTACTTCCACATATTTCCACAGCAAGCGTTTTGGAGAACATATCTTGGTCTGATTTAACCGCAGACAAACTTTTTTGTGGCTGAAAAAAGATCACTGCACATGACTTTAAACACACAGTGACACATGGTGGTGGCAGCTTCATGCTGTGGATAAGCAGGAAGCTTGTCAAATCTCATGGGAGGCTTATTGGAGGTTTAGAACAGAGTGAAGATCAAAGCTGGTAGAGATTTATCCTGTTGATAAAGGTGCAGATATATACCACACCTTCCAGAAAATACCCAGAAAACCAAATAGCTTTTATTCCCCTCCAGTTTTCAAGTACTGTGTGGTGATCTGTTACATACAATTGTTTGTGCTAGCAAAAAAAAAAAAAAAATGAAAGGTTCAATGAACACATTTGCAAGGCGTTATAAAACCCAGTTGTTTTACCTGCCTTGTTTAACAAAAAGGCTGAATGCTTCAAAACCCTCTGTAGACTCATCTGTCTGCACAACCTGTGAATTAGACTTTAATTTCTAAACACTAACATGTAAATAATCTTGTTGTTTTATTTAATACACTCCTAAGGTAGAGAAAAGAAATGGGTGGAAAGAGTTGCTTTGGTTCCGTCTCTGTATGGGATAAATAATGTAAGCAGGTGTCTGCACTGGAAAAAATCTAAATCTAGATAAGTAATCTTTTCTTGAAATAAATGCATTTGTTTTTGGACTGAGGAGGCAAAAGAGACATTTTTGCCAATGGAAAGAGACAATTTATACTTAAAATAAGAATTTATTTCAAGTGCATATTACCTAAATATCTTATTTTAAGAGTAAAAATAATCATTTCATTTGCAAACTATCTTATTTACCTACTCAAATTATGGTTAAATACACTCGATTTAAGACATTTTTACTTATTTCTAGATTGTTTTTCCAGTGTGGTTTCAACATTTCCATTTTAAAGGTCATTTACATGAACAGAAAAACAGCAGCTAAACTAAGAATAACCTATTTAACAGATCACCAGTGTGGTTAGGAAGGATTTGAGTGGTTTATTGCTGGATCTTAACAAGCGTCAACCTGTTTATGGGTGCGTTTTCCTTTTCTTGAGATTCATTTTATTTCAATGTAACTCAGGATGGGACTATTGAACACTTGGAGACGCCAGCAGAGGAAGAGAAGGTTGAACCTGCACAATCACCCACCAGCATGCACGAATATTCTCCCGCTGTGTCAGGTAAATCTGCTTTTCTTTATCCTTCACCTTTACAACTGTCTCTTTGTCTTTTTCTTTTTCTAATGGTGTCCCATCTTTCCACAGAGGGGCTAGAGGAGAGCAGTGTGACCGTAAGTATCTGAAGGTTTCAGCTCTGTCTCCTCCTTTCTGTTTCTGCTCCATCCTCAGATTTGACCCCGTCCTGACCCCTTTGTCTCCAGTGGTCGCTGTAGTCAGACTTGTGTCCTCACCTTTCCTCTCTTTCTGTCCTTTTGCTCTGGTATATATGTGTGTTTGTGTCGGTGTGGTTGTCGGTCGGGTCTGGTTAGATTGAGACCCCCATGTTGAACTTGGCTAAACGTGTTAATCACTGGGTCTGGGACCCCAATGAGGAGCGTAAGCGCTTGGAAAGGTGGCAGCAGGAGCAGGAGCGCCTCCTAAAGGTACTGTAGACCGAGGTTGTGTTTGTGCATGGCTCTGCAGGTGCTTTGGAAAGTAAAGATATTCTGGATGTTTCTTTGTAGAGCTCGGATCAGGAGGTTATATACACTCATCATGGGTCTTAAAGTTGAACTAATGTTGGACTTTTGGAGATTCATTTTTTTTTAACAACAGGCAGATTTATGGATTATTAAAAATGACAAACAGATACTGTTTTTTGTTTGTTTGTTTTGGATAGCCCAGTCTTGGTTTGTTGATTTCCTGGAAGCAGTGTACCTAGTTATTCAGTTGTGCTCCATGGGGGGCATCAAGTAGGGGGGGTCAAAAATCATTAGGATGTGATTCCTGAGGTATATACAGTCATATGAAAAGTTTAGGCACCCCTATTAATTTTAATTATATTTATTTCTAAATATTTGGGTGTTTGTAGAGCTGTTTCAGTTTGATATATCTAATAACTGATGGACACAGTAATATTTCACTATTGAATTGAGATTTATTGGACTAACAGAAAATGTGCAGTCTGCATTAAAACAAAATTTGACAGGTGCAAAAATATGGGCACCTCAGCAAAAAAAAAGACATTATTATTTAGTAGATTCTCCTTTTGCAAAAACAACAGCCTGTAGTCGCTTCCTGTAGCTTTTAATGAGTTCTTGGATCCAGGATGAAGGGAGTTTTGTCCATTCTTCTTTGCAAAACAATTCCAGTTCAGTTAAGTTTGATGGTCTCTGAGCATGGACAGCCTATTTCAAATCATCCCACAGAATTTCAATGATATTCAGTTCTGGGGATTGGTATGGCCATTCCAGAACATTGTAATTATTCCTCTGCATGAATGCCTGAATAGATTTGGAGCGGCCTAAGCGATCCATCCCTGGCATAAATTCAACTTCATATCTGATTCTTGAACTTTGCTCTCAAGAATTATGGAGTGGAATCCATGCAACCCTCAACTTTAACAAGATTCCCAGTGCCAGCATTGGCATTGCAACCCCAAAGCATGATGGGACGTCCACCAAATTTTCAAATCTTCCAAATCTTGGAATGCTGTGTTTTTTTGCCGCCATGCATAACGCCTTTTTTTTATGACCAAACAACTCAATCGTTTAATCGGTCCACAGGACCTTATTCCAAAATGAAGCTGGCTCATCCAAATGTGCATTTACATACCTCAAGTGATTCTATTTGTGGCATGCTTACAGAAAAGGCTTCTGTCTCATCACTCTCCCATACAGCTTCTCCTGGTGCAAAGTGCGCTGAATTGTTAAAGGATTCATAGTGACACCATCTGTGGGTTGTCCTTGACCATTCTCACCATTCTTCTTCTCTGCCTCTCTGATATTTTTCTTGGCCAGCCACTTCTGGGCTAAACTGTCAGTTTAAATCTCTGAGACAACTTTTTGTACCTTCCCCTCAACGATTATGTTGAACAATCTTTGTTTTCAGATCAATTGAGAGTTGTTTGCGGTGCCCATGATGATCTTCAGAGATTCAAACAGGAGAACAACTTGCAACTGGTCACCTTAAATACATTTTCTCATGATTGGATAGACCTGGCTATGAGGTTCAGATCTTAATGAAGTTACAAAACCAATTTTGTGTTTCAGTAAGTCAGTGAAAAGTAGTTAGTATTCAAATCAATAAAATGAGTAGGGTACCAAAATCTTTGCACCTAAAACTAAAATAGCTGTTGCAAACACCCAAATATTTAGAAATGAAAATAATTAAGTTTAATAGAGGTGCCCAAACTTTTCATATGACTATATAATGATGACCTAAATATGACTAAAATAATAATATAATTAGTAGATGTAACATTTATTTATCCAATGCATAATTTAGATATTGAATATAACCTTAAATTGTTAAATGCACAATAAAATGTCCAATTAAATATTTGAAATGCATTTATAATGGCAAATTAAATATTTCAATGTGATTTTAGAGTAAATACTTTATTCAAAATTAAATATAATTCATTTTATATGTATAATTAGATATAGAATTATGTAATTATGTGTATTTTTAGGGTGTCACCAGTAAGTTGCATTGGCTTTTTCTAAGGTCCCTGGCTAAAATGTTTGGGAACCCCTGATGTAAGCAAGGCTGTGAACTGAAGGGCTATGAATAAGAGGAACTGTTTCCAGAATTTCTTTCCCAATTTATCTGGTGTTGCATTTTATGCTTGGAATGAGATCCTCACATAGAGTAAATTGTGAATAGAACAGTGTAGGTATTTGAAAACTTATAATTACCATGACACGGATGTCCATGATCAGTGTATCTAACCAGAGCTGTATGCTTTTGTTTTATATTTGCGTGTGTTAGTTTTCACCTTGTTTTTTAGTTATTTAATATAAACTGTTCCTGCTAATAGGAGCAATACCAGAAAGAACAAGAGAAGCTAAAGAAAGAGTGGGAAAAGGCCCAGCTGGAGGTGGAGGAGGAGGAGAGAAAACACAACGAAGAGGTGGGAACGCTCACCTAGCAACAACGAAAACAAAACATGTTTTAGTTCTTGCTCTGTTTGTCTTAGATTTTCCTCCTTCTGTTTCCAATCCTCTCAATTCATCCAGGAAAGACGAATTCTAGAAGAGACTGTTGCACCTCTCAGTCCCTCTGCCTTGATGCAGAAGTGGTCAGAAAACACAACTTCTTATGCAGAAGAAAACAACAACACGGCAGACGGAGAAAATGTGTCTCTGCAGCAAAATGGACAGAAAATCCCATCAGGAAGTCAGGATCAACATTCATCCAAGCTGCATTTTTTCCAGGGTGAGAATAAAGTAAACACACTCAGAGATATGTCCAGTTGTCTAAAGGGCAGTTAATGTTAAACATTTGGTTGTTTTGTTTTGTGATAGACTCTGGATTTGAAGATCAGGCTCCAAAGAAACAGGAAATGTGGAAGACGGCATCTCTGGACCGCGGCCCTCAGCTGAACCAGACACAAGCTGTTAGGAGGTGAGTGAAAAATGAATGACGGCTTTATTTTTACCATTAACAGCATTTCCCCTGCAGTCATGGTAAAGATACGGTGCATTCTGAATTCACCACAGTATGCTCATCAGGACATAATACAGCTGGTCTGGTCTTTAACAGATGTGTTTAAATCTCATCTTTACGAACAAAATGTACAATAGCTTCCTCACTTTCAACATTTCTTTGGGAAAATGGACTAAAAGCTGCTACTGAAAATTACAGGACATTATTGAACAGCTTGATGAGCCTCTTTTAGGAGCAATAACGGTCTATTTTAGCTGTTTAATCAGTTATTCACATGGTTATGGAGAAGTTTGTTCCACTCTCCTGAGAAATGCTGCTTCAGTTTATCTGTTGTATTTTTTATCACTTCAGCCTTGCTGAGGCTTTCTCAGGTTTATTACACTTTCATCCAGTTAGTTAAAGATTTGCTGTTGTGTTTGGGATCATGAAATGTCGCAAAGCTATTGCATCACTTGTGACTCTTAAATGAAATTGGCATATAGAGGAGCTCATGTCAGACTGGATGGTCACCCCCTCACAAATCTTTGTCCTCCACTGATGAGGCACTAGGGCTGAAACAATTTATCGGATTAATTGTAAGGAATCGATTATTGAACTAATCGTCAAATAATTCTGTAATCTATTAATCATTAACTGGAGTATAGAGACATGCCTTTAGCTGACAAAGTAACCCACTTAGAGCAGCAATTATACCAAATTTTAAAAAAAGAATAAATATGTAAAAAACATTTTGGTCTTTCAATATCCTCTACCCAGAACTCCTCAAGTGAAAAAGTTTTAGTTTCACCTGGTTTCATTTCTTAAAAAATCTTTTTTAAGGAACCTTTTGCTATCCGATTATTAATTGAAAAAATAATCGACAGATTAATCGATTTGCAAAATGTTGGTTAGTTGCAGCCCTATGAGGCACTGCTTACATGCCATATGTTTCTCTCCAGACATAGGGCTATGCTTTGTGACCAGTCATCTTTTATTTTGATATTATCTAAGAACTTTGTCCTAAACTTTAAAATTCAACGTGCTAATCCTAATCCAGGGATCCTACAGGGATCTTTTGTTTGTTTGTTTCTCTGACTATTCTAGGGTCTGACCTTGGGGTGAGTTTACCTGAACATCCACTCCTGGAAAAATTGGGAACTCTTAATAATTTTTATCACCTGCTATAATCTGTAGGATAACTTAAAATTGTTTCAAGGTGACCTTTTAAGGCTTCTCAGATTATTGATTTTTTATATGTTTTTGCTGAGGCCTTTTTTCTTTAGCATTGTTATTAAAACATGTTTAAATTATGATCTAGGCTATAAAAGTGATCCATTAATCAACTTGAACACTGGCAGCATTTGGCTAGAGCTTTCTTAGCCAACTCATTTTAAGCTGCTAAAGTTGGCATTTGTTCATGTTTACAAATGTTTCATTTTTGTGTGTAATTACGTATTGAATATTTGATATATAATTACAGTGGTGAATCCATGGTTAGTTTTTGAATGACTGAGGTTAAAACTTAGAACCTGGAAGAGACCTGAACCATTTTATCATGCTTGATTTGTAAAATTCTCAAGTTCAAAAATGAGTCTTTTTTTTACCATGGCTACGGGTAGATTTAGACAAATAGAGCTATTTAAATCTAGATATATATTATTTGAACTTGTAATGTTCAGACTGATTTATAAGCACTAAAAGGAGAGCAGATGAATGATCACAGTATAAAGCAGAGGATCATTTTCAGCCCTCTGTCTCTGCAGCTTATAAGCAAACCAAATATAAAGAACAACTAGAAAACGCATTTATTTGAGATACAGACCTGTTTTATCAGCGATGAAAACATACTGCTTCTCACCTTTAATTCAGATCAGGATCACATGATGCTGTAACGAGTAACCGGGACCTCTCTCCTTCATCGGCCCAGCCTCCGTCACACAGCAGGTAATAATGTTAACAGTCACCTGCAAATATCCGGTTGTCTGTTTCTCATTCCTGCTCTTTTCCTCCTGTCATTGTTTTAGGTGCGTCAGTGGGAAGCGACTCTGTTCTGGATGTTCAAAACCTCTGGGAAGAGGAGCTGCTATGATCATCGACACTTTGGGGCTGTTTTTCCACATGCACTGTTTTAAGGTCTGTTTGATACCACAGCGCTCTTGTTTTAAATTTACTATACTTACTCCATAATAAAAAAAAAAACGTAGTTTAGACATGTTTGTCTCACAAAATGGTTTATGTTTACTTAGCTGTTATATCTAACCATCAACACTCTCTAAGGAAGACTCTTATTGATTTAGGTTAAACTTTTTCTATTATTGCCATTTAGCTTTGTTATGCAGGGTCAAAAATCTGACCCCAAAAACAAGATTTATAATGCTTCGGTAACATTTAGGATGTTGGATTGAGTTGAGTGCGTTTTGTCTGAAGGGTCTGTTTTCAAACTGGGTTTTTCATCTGGGACAATAATATTAGGATAAGAACGATGATATTTAGGACGAAATCAGACAAGGTAGAAGTCAGACTCACGGTAAAAGTTTTTGTCTTTGTAAAGTGCCTTGAGATGATGTGTTGTAAATTGGCACTCTTTAAATAACTTGGAAGTTGAATAAATTTGAATGATCATTTAAAATTATATTTAGGCAAAGATTTATCTAGTTTCTGTTCTGAATTACCAAAGAGTAACAAATATAAGAAGAAAAATATATTTTCAATATAACAAGCATTTATTGTATAGTACCCGTAAAAAAAAAGAAAGAAATAATAGCAGATTTCCTCTGCACTGGGATATGGGATGTTTTTGTTCTAAAATACTGACATAATTTATGTTTATAAGCAAAAACTAACTTTTTAAGCGAGTTTCTGGTATCTTAGTGGAACAATTTAACCAGCTATCTAAAGGTCCAAAGAAAAGTGTGGGGATAAAAACTGGGAGATTGGCTACACCCTGAAAGTACCCTCTAAAGTATGGAATCAAATCGTTACCATATTTCAAATGAAAAAGCATTTTCAGAGATGCTTTTTCATTTCAAGAATGTGGTTGCATTGTTTGGCTCATAAATAAAATCAGTAATCAAGAATCCAGTTTCAATTTCATCTTAAACACTAACAATCCTCATACTTAAACAAAATGAAAAAGAAAAAGAAAAAGAAAATTGAGATTTAAAAATCAAAACCAACAAAAACAAACAAAAACCAAATGCAAATAGGATGATTGATTACTAATTTTATTTATGAATCAAGTAATGCAGCCACATTCTTAAAATGAAAAAGCATTTCTGAAAATGCCTACAATGAAAATGACCTACATTTAAAACGGTTAGAAATCCTCTTACCGTTTTTCCTTCTCCATAGATACAGTCAGTATAGCTTATTTCTATGTTTCAAGGGCTGAGGGCTTAAGGCTGATTTATAATCAGAAACAGGTCGTCTGCGTGTGTGTCACAGTAAATGCAAATGTGCTGCCTCTGCAGACACTCTGCTGCACCTCTCCAAAACTGTAGGTGACCGCCGTCAGTGCCACAGACAGGAGGCCTCTGATTGGTCAAATCTACATCCACTCTACACTATTTGTATTTCCTGTTTGGTACCTTGTTTTGTTTGTATGACCACCATTGTTGAAAACGACTTGTGAAAATGAACCAAGTAGAAGAGTGAGGTTTGTGAGAACGCTGGGACCCTTTTTACACCTGGATCCCAGCTCTTTTTTGCCCTCATTTCCCTTTATTGTCGCACAAATTTCCCCCCACTTCCTCACCGCCTCTGCCCTACCTAGACCCACAGCTAGTTCATGATTGTCCCTCTTACGTTTGTGGCGTGGAATAACATAGTGCAGACCACGCTTCAATATTGGGCATAAATCAAAAATATCTGCGTCATACCTGCGAAAAGCTCACTGCGACACACTGCGGTGTGAGTATAACCAACCTTTTAGTATGCATGCCAAGGGGAGTTACGGAATTTAGCTTCACAGGAAATGGACTGCACTCAATAAATTGGTTTCAATAAGCAAAATATAAAAGTCCTTAATGAAGTGACAGAAAATAATAGTAATTAATTGCATAACCTTTCCATCTTTTGTTGCATTTATTAATTTTTTTTAGTGTGGAGTATGCAAAGGACAGCTGGGTGATGCCACGGCAGGGACTGACGTCAGGATTCGAAATGGACTGTTGAGCTGCTATGAGTGCTACATTGCATCTAGAGGTGAGAAATCATTCATTAAAGAAACAAACGATTAATACGTTTAATTGCTCTAATGCTGCCTTTATGTGGTCTGGTAAAGATGATACTTAACACTTGTAAAGTGGAAATTACCAGCACATTGTGTTCAAGTGCTTTTGTTGTGGTAGACAAGAGACACATGTTGGATCAAAAGATTATCCTGACCAGTTGCTTTGACAAGTCAGTAATAGACTTCCTAGTTCATCTGCTACAGGAACAGGTATTGACTGTGTTGTAGCGAGCATCTGATAAAAGCAAACAATTATGGTCATTTAAAAAATTTAACATGTTTAGAGGCTTATATATTAAAAAAATATATATGTGTAGGATACAAAGACAATGAGAGACAATACTTAATAATACAATACTCACCAGAATAGTTTCTCTGCTTTGTGCCATGTTTAAAAGGTCAAACTTTACCTCATCTTCGCAACTCGGGTATCACAAATTTTATTTCCAGTTCTCCAGTAGAAATGATGACATGAGTCGGTGTTCATGTGCAATTTTGATTTCGATTTTTGGTATTTACCATAACTATGATACCACATAAAGGCAGGTTAAATATTTAACCACTTACCTAAAGTATAAAGAATCTGGTATTGTGTAGTTTGTAAAAAGCAGCTATCTGATTTATGCTGAGTAAATATTGTCTTTAAAATGTCCATTCAATTATGTGGAAAACTGTTTTCTGGACCGTCTGAACACAGGAGAATGGTTTTACCTGAAATAAGGACAGTCTGACTGCTAACAGGGGAAGAAGTTGCTGCTTTAACAGCAGTCAGCTTGTTTAATTGATCCAATTTGTTTTGCTAAAATAGGATTTTTCTCCTGTGGGATTTTTTTGTTGCCTCTATGCAGACCCAGCGGCATGGGCGGGCATTGTGGGGCCGTGCCTGCCAACGGAGGCGCCCGTGCCCGCCCTGGACTGGCAGCCGTCTTTTTTTTTTTTTTTTTTTCCTTTAACTCAGCGTAGCCAGCTTTCTATTATTCCTCTCTCATTCTGTCAATAATACAATTCAACCAATCAAACTGACGACTAAAGACAACATCCAATCAAACAACAGAGGGGGCGGGAGTCGCAGGACACTGAGTCAAACATACTTAACGCAATAGAAGGACAAGTACTGAAAATGGAGCAAAGGAGAGTGGCCAGGGAGCAGTTTCTGCTGGAAATGTAAGCAAGACAGTCAGCACTGAAGTAAAAAAAAATGCTTTTCCAATCAGTTTATTTTTAAATAAATCAAATGATGACAATAGAGTTTCAGGTGCAATATAGTCATTCCAGCATATATGTGATCTATGTGCCTGGACTGAGTCCAGCTAGAATTTACACAGAAAAGGTTAGCAAATACATCAGCTTTACATTTCCTAAAGCAAACCTATTTCAGTGCAAAGCTCATCTAATAAGGGCTAATAAGATATATGAAAGTCTTAATGCTGTTTGTTTCCCAGTGTAAATATTGTATATTGCATGCTTTCTCTTTCTCCTGCGGGGTAATTTGTGTCTCTTAAAAGAAAAAAAAAATGAAATGAGCACAGAACATTTAAACCTGAATAATGCCCCTGACTGAATGATTTAAGCTCAAAGTTACACGTTAATGTGTTTTATGAGGTCAGATTTTATAACCCGCAGTCAATACTGCACTCAGATTTCACTTTCAAACTGGGAGTTAACTTTTGAGTTATTTGAATAGCCACAGCACTACACTATTGTTTATTTTTTATATTTTGTGGATCTTTGACTATTTAATCTGGACCTAATTGTACCTAAAATTAATAACAATGTTCAATAAATGATTTTCAACAAAATACAGATGTAACATGTATCCAGTTTCTGAATGATTGTAAAAAATCTTGTCTCTACCAGCAGCTGGGGGAGACATTAGAACATGGTTCAGAAAACCTGTCAGGACACATTTTTTTTTCTAACACTAAGAATCAAACAAATGCTGATTTCTAATTCAGCAAATTATTCTGAAAAGATTTTAAAATAATTTTAATAAATGTTTTTTATAAAGATTTGAGATTTCTTTTACTGAATGAATGGT